AACTCAGTGTAGAGCATGTACTTTGCATGTATGAGGCCTGGGTTTGATCCCCAGCACTAAGAAAAAAAAAAAACCCAGAATGTGCTTGATATAAAATAACATACATAACTAACAGCAGTGTGAACACTGTAAAGTGACCTAAAAATGGCATTTACCACTATTATCAATTTATCTTTACTTGAACATTTGCAATGTTTCTTAATTCCCCTGCGTATTTGTATTCAAAACAGTAGGCAGCTCAGCCTGGAGCACACTATTTGCATGTCATTTTCACAAAAGTCTTTGCAACATTATCATAGACTTCAGGCCTTTCCCTCCCAGCATAGCAGGAAACTCATTAATTCTTCATAAGCAAACCACTTGTGTTTATTAAGCAGAAAATGTTCCAACAAAGTTCAAGCTCAGACTAAAAGGAACCTCGTTTTCTCTTATTAAAATTACATTTTTATTTGGTCTTGCATGGCTAAAAAGAAAAACAGACTTCAACTAAAGCTCTTTGAAAAAGTGGCAACTAACCCACCTACCTCATTTCAGATACTAAAATCTTTCTTAAAAAGCATGTGAATAAGCTGGGGCATACCTCAAAGGCCCAGCACTTGCCTGGCTTGTACAAAGCTCTGGGTTTGATCCCCAGCACCACCACCCCTTCCTCCCCCTCAGCCTTCCCCCACCAAAAAAAAGAAGCACATGGACAGCCTTTTAAATAAATTACACCCGCTTCAGAACTCAGCAGTAACCCACTGTTTTCCTTATTTTTTTACATTTCTGTGTATATATATATTATAAACCAAATTGGCTCGTCTCCTCTATTTTTCTCCTTTCTACCTGAGTGAAATCTTATGGTGATTTCAACAAATGTGAAAGTTCTATATTCATCCTTGTCATAAGCCACTGTTTTAATGAGAACCCTAACAATTCCTTATGAAAAGTAGATGTTCACAACATACTGCCACTTCCAGCTATCCACAGCTAGAAAAAACCTTTCACAGTACATAAGGAGGTGGGTTCAGCAAAACTTGAATCCTATAAAGAAAAAAAGTGCAGTGGGTATAGCTCAGGGGTAGAGAAAAAGGGGAAAAAAATTTTTAAAAAGCTGAGCACCAGTGGCTCATGCCTATGATCTACCTACTTGGGAGGCTGAGTTCAGGAGGATCATGGTTTAAGGCCAGCTCGGGCAAATAGTTTGTGAGACCTCATCTCCAAAGTAACCACAGTAAAATGGACTGGAAGTGTGGCTCAAGTGATACAGTGCCTGCTTTACAAACACAAAACCCTGAATTCAAACCCCATTCCAAAAAAAAAAAAAATCTGTACCACTGAGCCACAGGCAGGAAAATAAAATTTTTGAGAAAAATCCAGATGTCCACTATCAACTGAAGAATGAGTCTTAAAAAACTAAAATATATACATGTAATGGGCTACTAACCTCAACAAACACAAATGAACTAGAGCCACGAGAATCGCAGATACAGTCATAAACAGAACACTAAAGAGCAAGCAAGCTGAACAGAGATGGTGTCACTGTAAAGTACTACATGTCATTAATACTATGTCTGAAACTACTCCCAGCACTGGGAATAAAGAGAAAATTCAGAATGACAACTATCCAGGCGAGAGAAGGGAAGTGGGTCCACGGAAAGAACACATGTGTAGTGCCATCCCTCTTCAGCTGAGGACATACATGTGTGCTCTGTGCCTGTTGTGTGAAGCTGCATGTTCCTTTTCAACATCCAAAAAGTCTTCCAATTTTCTCAGGGTCATTCTGGCCATGAAGGTGAAGTACTTGGGGCATGAGCCAGGGACCCACACTGGACCACTGCCTCAATTATCAGGAGAGGCAAAGCACAAAGGAGCTCTCAAGGATGCAGCTGAGAAGTGAAGACTCCATTCGTTTTTCAGTGTACATAGAGACCTGCCAAAAAGGAAGTTGAGCAGCTTCTGCCATCAGAGAAATGCAACCCAAAAGCACAAGAAGCAACCACTTCACAGCCAGAAAGACAGTAAAGATTAAAAGGGTGAGGTGAGGGTTGCCAAGTGCCTTTGTATGGTGCTAAGGAAAACAGGCTGGCAGCTCCTCAAAGGTTGAACAGAGTGACCACAAGACAGCAATTCCACTCCTAGGCATACAGCCAAGAGAAAAGAACATGCATCCATACCAAAAACTTTTATAGCATTATTAATAGTAGCCAAAAAGTGGAAACAGTCCAAATGTTAACCAGCTGATTGAATGGGTAGATAAGATGTGGCCTAGCTATATAATGAAATATCATAAAAAGAAACAAAGTACAGCCAAGCATAGTGATCATGCTTGTAATCCCAGTACTCAAAAAGCTGAGGCAGACCCTGGGCTACCTAGTGAGTTAGAGACCAGCCTGGGCTACGTAGTGAGACCATTTCAAAAAGCAAAAGAAAGGAGAGAGGAAGGGAAGGAAAAGAGGAAAGGGGAGAGGAGGAGAAGGGAGGGGAGGAGAGGGAGGAGAGGGAAGGGGAGGAGAGGGACACAGATGGTCACCAGCTTTTCCTTATTCTAGGAAATAAATATTAGAGGGCTTTAGAGAAACATAGATACACAGATCATGACAGCAGCAAGCAATCTCACTGTCCCCCCGCCCACCACATAACTAGAAACTTATGTTCACCCCAAAGAACCTACTGCAGAAAGATGTTGTCCCCAGACTCACACAAAAGTAGGCTGCCAATCCCTGGGCCCACTGTTCTCAGTACTGGCCACTCCCTGTCTTGCTACCTGCACTCCACACTCACCTCTGCTCTTACAGAGCCGGCATTCCCCAGTCTCCAACATGCCCAACTTTTCTCAAACCCACCTGGGTTCAAGACCCTCAGGGCTACAAATGCCCTTACTAACCCCTCACATGCAGCGCAAGTGCCTGAAGGAATTGAGCCTCCTTCCAGGTCCACAATTAACCTTTCCCACCCGGACCTCCTAGTCCCTCCATCGCAAGCTGGTCAAGCTCCTGTGGGTCAGAAGCATTTCCACAATAAAGTTCTCTTTCTTGTGACAAAGGCAATGTGTTCATTTTAGAAAACATGACAGAAGAAGCATTCTTCTCAGAAGTAGTATTTTGAGACTATCACACCTAATAGTTCAGATAGTTCTGTCAATCTGTAGCCAGTGGTCACCAAGCACCAAGCCTAGACTGCACACAGAAGCATCCAATAAACACATGTTACATTTGATTCTTTCTCTGCTTTACTACACAAGCACTGAATGACTAGAGATTTTAAAGGAAGACTGAACCTTTGGTGGAGTTAAAATACAAAGAACACAGAGCACCCTCTCACAACAAAATAAAACTAGTTAACTAGCTCTAAGCTAAGTAACTAAATAGGACCAGCAAAAGTCCTGTGCTTCTTTGCTTGACCCTTTCTACAGAGCTACTCAAAGCCACAATGGCTATGAAAGCATGCTTACCAGCCACATAATATGCTACCATGGCTCCAGTAACTGGTTTAGAACAGAAAATTAACCTAAGATAATATTAACTCTAAAACAAAATGGGGACCACAGTCAACACTTCATGAACCATTCCATGAAGCAGCAATCACCACCTAAAAACAACTCAATACACCTGAGAATGTCACCTATAAGAGAGTTGGATCTACTCTCTCAAACACAAGAGGACTGACAGAGTAGCTCAAGCAGTAAGAGTGCCTGCCTAGCAAGTGTGAGGCCCTGAGTTCAAACCCCACTGCCACCAAAAAAGAAAAAAAGAAATAGCATTGCGTGCTCTTCCCCTCCCCCAACAAAGTCCCAAGACCCCAGACATGCAGTGGAAATCATTATCATATATCCTATAAAACTGTGATTAATGATCTGCAAGCCTTTCTTCCTCTCAATTCCATCTCAATTCTGAAAGAAGACAGGTAGGACCACCCTTTCTCCCAGCCTTAAGGCATAACGTAGGATTCCATCCCACTTATTGGCTCACCACCTGCAAACACGCATAGCAAAGACAGGAAAGACAGGGAAAGGTGGTGAGCCACACACTCTCCAAGGACTGCCACTGCCTCTAAGGTTCACAGTGACACCAATGGACTCAGCCCCTCGCCAACAGGTCCTTTGTCCTACCTCTCTTCACATGAAGAGACCCTCGTCACTGTGCTGCGGGCTCTCATCCAGATGACAGGGATTAGTATCATCTGTCTAGTCTATGTACAAGCCTTAAGAATAGAAATGGTTAGTAGGTGGCTCGCTTCACACTAATATAGCAAGAAAGTACACAAAGCAACAGGGAGACACAGGGCACATTTAAGAACTCTTATCACGGAGGTCTGGCCACTAGCACTCAGCTGGGCTCAGGCAGGACACTGTGCATATGGAGGAAGATGGCAGACCAGGGCATGCTGGTCACATCCTATGCACATACCAGGGCTCAGATGCCCCTCTGGTAGGGCTGGATTCCAGTATCCACCTTTGGAGGTGAACCCTAGGATGTGCAAGAACACCCAGGAGGGTATATGGGGGTCAGAGCAAAGGCCCTCCTGGGCAGGCCTATTCCCAGGTCCAGTTCCCAGAGGAGCATCAGGCCTTGGAAAGAGGCTCAGCTCCCTCAGTGTACTCACTACAGGGAGGGCAGACAGCACACTAAGGTGCTGACCACAATGTGTGACTGCCAGCACTTGTTCCCCAGTCACAACAATGTCCTCCACCCTTGTTATTACTGCATAAGAGGAGCCAAAGCTGTTCTAACCAGCTGAATTTGCAGAGCTATCTGTGCCCTAACATACCCTTCAGCAATCCCCCCAAAAAGAGGAAATGGCACTTCAGGAAGGGAGAACAGAAAGACTGGAGATACTCTCCATATAAAGAGACCCAGAAATGGGAAAAGCACAACAGCCCTTCCTCAGGCCTCCTGACATATCTGCCTCTTATCTATAAGCAACACCAGGATGAACCTAGAGGAAGCTGCACATCTAGCCCCTAGCAAGGCAGTCAAGTGCAGACTCTCCTGGCCTGAGGAACCAGGTCTCCAGCAGACCTCAGCAGGCTCTGAAGGTGGCAGGTCCTGCAAGGCATGTGGGAGTTCAGGTCACAGCTGGAGGGATGGGCTCCAGCAGACAGGCAACTCAGCTTTTTCAAAGGTACACAAGTGGTCTGTAGAGAACAGATGAGAAACCGTGTGTCATCTTTAAGGACACAGAATGGATGCCAACTTCTCGGGTTCAAACCCATACTCTCCACTTAAAAACTGTCTGACTCTGAGCAAGAGACTGGTCTGAAGCAGCTTCCTAATCTGTAAAATGGACCACACAGTTCCTGCCCCAACCAGCTGCTTTGAGGGCAGCCCAAGTACTCAATAAATAATCCTAGTGAGATGTCCCTCCGCCCCAGGCCACTAGTTCTGGGAGTCCACCTCCTCACCGCAAGCACAGCACAAAGCAGCTGTCCTGAGACTGTTCTGCACTGACTCCTCAAGAGGACATGAGGTCCTGAGGCCAAGCAGTGACATTCCCCATGCCCCACTTCTGTGTGCAGCTCTCCCAACCCCCTTCACAGCAGCATGCCTAGCTCCCATTCCTGGACCCCTGCTGCACCAAAAGGGCCTGCACAGCTCCACTTCATGTGGCAGGTTTTAGGAGGTGACCAGAAAGCTAGCAAGTAGCAGTGGACTCAGCTGCGTGAGAAGAGGAGCAGATGTCACTCTCTGACCTAAGGGCTAAGACAACTCCATTTACTTAACCACTGCCCTCTTGGCCTCATGCAGCCCAGATGGCCCATGCAAATGGGGAAAAGAGCTGGGCCTCACTTTCACCACCACCACCCACAACAATACTACAGGGAGATAGGATTTGCTGTTCTCATGATTTAAAAAATACAAAGTACTAGAGGTATGGCACAATCTGTACAGCACCTGCCTAGCAAGCACAAAGCCCTGAGTTCAAACTCCAGTACCACCAAAATAATAAAATAAAAGAAATAAAAAATAACCCCAAATCATAAAATCATCAGATTTGTTTTTTAAAATCATTTTTATCTTCATTTAAAATTAATCCAAGAGTGCAGATTTGCCATATTAAATATGCAAGAGAAAAAACATGATTGACCTTAAATTTATTTTTCAAAATGTTTCTGGAAAATAAGTGACATTCAATAACACGAAAAG